GAACAAGTACTTCTCGTTTAAACATTTGATTACTTTTTCGCCTTACCCTTTTCCCATGTTAAAATATGTGAATCGAGTTCAATTAAAATTCAAGAGGTTTCTGAAGTTCGTCAGTAATGAGCTTTAAATTTCCGGACCTATTCGGAAAGTTGCTGTCATGACACCTGCTGACCGAGTTTCAAATGAGAATAATGGTAATTTTTAACCTCTAGTTATTTTGTAAGTCAAATATAAGGATATAATCATATTGACAACTGACTTCAACGTTCAAGTAGGTAGGGTTGGCTGTTCAGAAATGAATCTTAAGAGTATCCTTAGCGTCGTTTTCTCTTATACAGACAATCATTTTCTTGATCAATATTAACTTCCGATGTATGTAGAAATAAGATCTTTATCGTCGCTAACTATATAATGATGAATACAGATAACTGACTTTATTAAAATGGAAAGTCCCTCTCTTCTTGAAAAGTCTTGGATTCAACTTACGTGTTGGTTAGTTCTAGTGTTTATCTCAGATGAATTAGGTTCAGGAAACAGGTTTGCTATACAGAAATCAAAGGCCACCAGTGTTTAGCATTGTATAATTATTTTCAGCTTTGTGTAGATTTGTAGATTTGCGATAGATTATGGCGTATTTTACACTGAATCTGTCATTAGAATTAAATAAAACTAATTGACATATATCTCACTTATATTGTTACACAAAGGTATTAAAATAGGAACCTACGGTTTATAACACCGGAAGAAGGAGAACTCAGTAAAAGATGAAAAGCTACAACGTTGTTGTTCCTATCTTTACACTAAAAATCGAGAAATTTTTATTATATCTATCTTGCTCTCAGCCCTGGGCACTCAAAAACCATCTAATACCTTGTTATAATTTATGGAGTTACGTAAAAAAGAACCAAAATCTTCCATTAGTTATCATTTATCAATAATAATAATAATGTCCATCATTATTTCACTCTACAGTGATTAGACTAATTCACGCATGCACATATGCGCAGTATGAGATGAAGTACTAGAGCGAATTACTACTAAATAAAACAGAAATTTTTTCTATCAATTTAATCAAGTCAATATTTCATATTGATTTAATTTGACTATTGTAATTCTCTCAAATTGTGTGAAAACTTTAATGACATGTACTGCTAATTTGATTTTTATATTTTAACAAATATTTTTAGATGCTTATGCGTGTTTGATGATGAGTGTAATAATAATTAAGTTGTATGTATTTAACCAACGTTAAACAGTAAGCTTTGACGTTGCGTGTATATATATATATATATATATATATATATATAATATATACGATTGATTACTGATTTGTATTAAATTAATTTTTTTAGCAGCATACAAGTTTCCATTGTCACTATGAGTCTGTTCGGTAAATCAGTATTTACTTATATCCATCTTAAGATGTATCACATAAAAACTTTGGTACTTAATTTTCCATGTTATTTTTTATCACAATCTGTTTCGATTGCTGTAAGAATAGGGTTATAAAAAAGCTATGAATGTCCAAATCAAAACATGGTAGCTGTTCGTAAATTCATTGACTAGTTAGTCTAAACTATGCGGTTTGGAAACTTTGGCTAACGCACGTTTTGTAAGGTTGTATATTGATTGCAAATGTTAATTGACTTGTCGCATTAAACTAAAAGTCTTCATAGAACTATACAATCTCACGTCCTGACCAGTATGTATATCTCATTCTGTTCTTATTTAGGTTGGTATTTTATATTCAAATGAATGTGAAAGTTGAATCATTTTATTCCGTGCTACGAAACTGTGTACATAAGAAAGTTCGGTATACATTGTTCTCAGTACACTCAATCAACCTGTTAGTCGCTTATAGAAAATATTTTGGAGCAGAATAACGCGAATTCATTTTGTTTTGTTACGTTCTCGTTTCGACTCACAACCTGTAGTATTGTAGAATAAAAATTATCGCAAAAGTTAAGATACATATACCAGTGAAATTAGTTAAATGAGAATATATATATTAGCAATTAACTTGTGTTAATCTACTTCATCGTTTAATCAAATGATATTTCAGCTCTATAAACTTAAATTGCTATTCTAATGTTCTACAATTCCCTTTCAACTTGTACTTATTTGCAAGATTTTCTATGTTTTATCAATCGGATTACTTTTTTTTTAGTCGTCACTCCATCACGATGATACATAGTGACATATAATCCATTTCAATAGTATAAATACACTATCTTTTACGATAATTTTAATTCTAAAGTATTCTAGGTTGTAAGCAGCTGATGGAAACTAAATGAAATAAAATAAAATTCGTGTTCTGATCAAATCTTTGTTAATGCCCACTTCAAGGTATGGATTAACCTCTGAAAAACTGATATCCTTATGTAGTGAAGATCCAGTTTTTAGCCTGTCCTTTCGTTCTCTTTAACTCTTTTGGAAAAATGAGCATTACAAAATCAAGTACCTGTCGATTGCAGAATCTTGGAAAGTATATTCATAAGAGCAATTTGTATTTCATATGGAATAGCTTATCCGTTCTGCATAAACCCGTATGAGATAAAAAAATTGTGTTAATCAACTGTTTTAGTTCTCCTAACAATTGGTTTGAATTTATACACGTAACTGCTTGACTTAAAGTTCCAATTTATCAATCGGAAATAATTTCAATGCTTTTATTATTAGTTTCGTTAAAGTTCGGTCTCATCATAGAAATCAATCTGATATGTCAAAATGTTTATTAATTATTATTAGTTCCACCATTATCCGACTCTGCATACTTTTTACTCAAATCATTATTCGTGGAGTGCTTCTACTGTGTTTGTTCATAGTATTTAGTTAAGAGAAACCGTCGTAAAGCTATGAAAATGGACCTAACCTATATACTTCCTGTACGGTTAGTATATAAAATTAGATCTGTCCTACAAATAATTTAATTTAAAAAAATTGAGCCATTTTTTAGTCCGTATAGCTTTTGTAGAAGTTGTAATATGCTTAAGTTAATGATATTTATAATAAAGACAACAGTGATGTCCACTCTAAATCTACTGCAGTGTCTGGAGCATGTGTTATACATCTCAGTCTACAGAGTGTCGGATTTCTTTAAAATCTTAGAATTCCAATAACTAATACATCACGATAATTTTTCATAAACTCTAATTACCGGTTTCAATTATACGCGTAAATTTATGTAGTACTAATTAAAATTTATTTATTTATTTATTTAATCACATAAACATTGGTACAAGGAGGCACCAAATAGATATGCGCCACATAAATCTCATTCGATATGTGTGTGGGCTGTGATACTGCCCGGGTGCCCAGACCGAAGTAAGTGGTTTTCTTAGGGGGCCACACCCCGAGCCTTGGTCTGACCCACAAGGCAATGGAACATCGTGAGGAGATGCAGTCTCATGGTAGCCGGTGACCAACAATTGGTTAATACGCCATTTAATCCCTCAGGATCCTTGAACCATTGTTTTGGATTCCGGTTAAAGCGCTGGACATTCGCTTTTTGTCCTCCCAATTTCGTAAACAACACCCCCGCCACGAGAAGGCAGTGAGTAGGACTTCCCTGGCAGAGGCTGTATACGCGTGGCCGTGTGAGAGCATTTCGAGAGGGAGGGCGGCCCCACCCCACTCTCGGCCATGCCAGGGCATTTGGGGGCACTAATTAAATTTAATAAAACCTGTGTAAATCTATCTGCATATACCATGATTAATTCCAAGATTTAATTTTTCTTCCTTACAATTATATAATTTTAATTTTATCACTTATGATCCAACATAAAAAAAACTGGATTCATCAACTTTTTTCTCACTCAATATCTGTTCATTATCATACTGAAATAATTTACCATTACTACTTCCTCTTTTCTTCCTGATTTTCTTCTGCTTTATCTTTTCTTACTCTTCTCTTTTTTTGTCTTTCATAATATACTCTATACTTTTTCTCTTTTTTATTTCTCTGGTGATATTTAGTTTTAAAACATGGCTCATATGATTCATAAAATGATGGAAGAGATGATAACTGCCAATTTTTGAATTATATATATATAAGTACTAATTTACTAATTATGATAATTACCTTTTCTATCGTTGTAGAAAAAAGATATGAATTGTGTTTTTTCAAAGTATATGTTATAGTCTTTTTGAATGAGAAAAATCCTTTTTATTGTCAGTAGTAAATATATTTGCACTATTATTATTATTATTATTATTATTATTATTATTATTATTATTATTATTATTATTATTACAATTTACTACTGTTCAAATTAATCAATAGTCTTTTGCACATATATGCATATATACAAGCCAATTTATGCGCGTATGTGCACACAAAGCCCCCTGAATGCCCTGGTACGGCCGAGAGTGGGGAGAGTCCGCTCTCCCTCTCGAAATACTCTCACACGGCCACGCGTATATAGCCTCTGCCAGGGAAGTCCTACTCATTGCCTTCTCGTGGCGGGGGTGTTGTTTACGAAAATGAGAGGACGAGAAGCGAATGTCCGGCGCTTTAACCGGATTCCAAACCAATGGTGCACATGGGCTCCAGTATCCTGCGGGAACGAATGGCGTATGAACCAATCGTTGGTCACCGGCTACCATGGGACTGCATCTCCTTACGATGCTCCACTGCCTTGTGGGTTAGACCTTTAGGTCAAAGGCTCGGGGAGTGGCCCCCTAAGATAACCACCTGCTTCGGTTTGGGCACCCGGGCAGTATCACAGCCCACACACAAATGATGAACTGTTTATGTCTATGGAAACTACTTTTGTCGCTTTGAAAAACAATCAATTGATTCAAATTATGATCACTTCAATTATTGTCATTATTAATACTAATATTATTATTACTACTATTATTGTCATTATTGTTATTATTATCATTATTATTATTATTTTCCACATTATTCACCTTCTTTTATACTTATACAGCGGCTCGTCTTTGGTGGAATTCCGACTGTATCTAAACGTTCTCGAGTCACTGTCCGGTTGAAAATTGTATGTTACCACCGAATACGAGGACTGAAGCAGATTTTCTGAAACCACGTGCATCATTCAAACTGGCTGCCTTCAACGTTCGCACATTTATGCAGGTCGGACAACAGATAGGGCTGGCTATGTCTTTGGAAAGTCTTAATATCGACGTGTGTTGTCTATCCGAGACCCGTATTCAAGACTCTGGCGAAGTACTACAAATTCGATCTCCATCTGTCGCTTCGAAAAGCTTGTTTTACGTGCGCTTATCCGGGGACCCTGTGGCATCTTCGTCTGGTTTTGCTGGCGTTGGTGTCGCACTAAGCGCTAGAGCTGAGGCAGCACTAATTGATTGGATCCCCATTAACAGTCGGTTATGTGCTGTTAGATTAGAAAGTTCCATCAAAGTGAGAAGAAATCGGCGTGAGAAACGATGTCTTTTCGTCATCTCCGCCTATGCCCCGACAGATTGCAGCCCGGATGCAATCAAGGATGAGTTTTACCACCAGTTATCAGTTCTTCTCCAGAAAGTGCGTTCGACAGATATTGTAGTACTAGCCGGAGACTTGAATGCTCAGGTCGGGCGTCTAGGCACAGAAGAGAGTCGTTTAGGTGGCCGATGGGGACTCGTTGGTCGCAGGTCAGATAACGGGGACCGTCTACTGCAACTTTGCGCAGACCACAACCTGTTTCTGGCTAGCACTAACTTTCGGCACAGTCATCGCCGATGTGCCACCTGGCGTCCTCCCTCTGCATCTCAAGCCTGGACTCAGATTGATCACATCGCGATCAGCTACCGCTGGCGTGGTTGTGTACAAGACTGCCGCTCCTTTTGGAGTACCTATCTGGACTCTGACCACGCCTTGGTCTGCGCCAATCTTGCCTTACTTTTCAGTGGACAACGAAGTGAACGCCATCAACGGATTGATGTTAGCAAGCTGGTTGCAACTTCTGTTGCAAGTAAGTATCGAACCGAGCTAGCCTCTAGGCTAGCTACCACTCCACCGAAAAGTATAGATGAGCATTGGTTGCAATTGCATGACGCCATGAAAATGGCGGGAACAGTCAGTTGTGGGTTTGCGAAACGTCCCGCTTTTAAGCACTGGGTTTCTTCTGGTTCCTTACAACTCATTGAAGCCCGTCGGTCTACTCCGGGTAACCGTGAGTTTGACCATAAACGAAGGTTTTTACGTAAGGAAATCGGGCAAAGCTTGCGTAAGGACCGAGAAGCCTGGTGGTCGATGCGTGCTAATGAGCTGGAAGCAGCAGCTGCATCTGGTAACTACCGGAAGCTCTTCCAACTCATCCGAGCCACTGGCAGCAAGAAGTCTGGTGTGAGTGAAACAATCTGCGAGGATGATGGGATGCCAATCACTAACATCCATCGACGTCTTGGACGATGGGCAGAATTTTTCGAAGGGCAGTTCAACTGGCCTGCTGCTCCGGTAACATCGGTCAGACTGTCCTGCCCTCCATGGCCGGTGACGACTGATCCACCAAATGAGGAGGAAGTCCGCAAGGAACTCCAACTCTTGAAACGTTACAAATCACCTGGCCCAGATGACTTACCTCCGGCTCTTTTTAAAGATGGTGGTGACTTTTTGACTAAGGAATTGACGACGTTGTTTACAAAGGTTTGGGATCTAGAGAGTGTACCAACGTCATGGAATGAGTCGATAGTTGTCCCTATCTTTAAAAAGGGTTCACGTCGTTCTTGTAACAACTATCGGGGGATAAGTTTACTTCCGATTGCGTCCAAGCTATTGGCTTCCGTCATTCTTCGTAGGTTGTTCAAAACCCGAGAAAGATTGACTCGCGAGGAGCAGGCTGGGTTTCGTTCTGGTCGAGGATGTATTGATCATATCTTCACCCTCCGCCAAATGTTAGAACACCGCCATACTTTTCAAAGGCCAACAATCGTTGTGTTTCTTGACATCAGGGCTGCCTTCGATTCGTTGGATAGGACTGTTCTCTGGGATTGTCTATTGAAGAAGGGTGTGCCTGAGAAGTTTATTAACATCCTAAAAGCCCTGTATAAAAACACCTCAGGCAGAGTGAGGGCATACAACCACCTCTCTCCATTGTTCCATTCGAGCAGTGGGGTTAGGCAGGGTTGCCCAATCTCACCATTCCTCTTCAACTTTGCCATCGATGACATTCTGGAAACAGCTCTGATGAATGTAAGTAATGGTGGTGTGGATCTGTTGCCTGGAGAAAGACTTCTCGACCTTGAGTATGCGGACGATATTGTCTTACTGTGCGATAATGCCCAAGGCATGCAATCCGCACTTAATCAGTTGGCAATCAATGTCCGTAGGTATGGTATGTGCTTTGCACCTTCGAAGTGCAAAGTACTTCTACAAGACTGGCAGGATCCCAATCCTGTACTCACCCTGGATGGTGAGCAGATAGACGTAGTTGAGAAGTTCGTGTATCTGGGTAGCTGCATAAGTGCTGGTGGGGGTGTGAGTGATGAGATCAATGCACGAATAGTGAAAGCCAGAGCGGCTTATGCCAATCTGGGCCACCTTTGGCGCCTTCGTGATGTCAGTCTGGCTGTAAAAGGCCGGATCTACAACGCGTCGGTGAGAGCAGTTTTGCTCTATGCTTGTGAAACCTGGCCTCTCCGAGTTGAGGACGTTAGACGACTCTCTGTGTTTGATCATCGCTGTCTCCGAAGGATTGCTGACATTCAGTGGCAACACCATGTTAGTAATGCAGAGGTTCGGCATCGTGTGTTCGGGCACAGAGATGATAACTCAATTGGTGTCACCATCTTGAAACACCGACTTCGGTGGCTTGGACATGTTCTCCGAATGTCGTCCCAGAGAATTCCACGTCGTGCATTATTTGCCGACTCTGGGACTGGTTGGAAGAAGCGGAGAGGTGGTCAGTGCATGACATGGTGTCGTGGCATGAAAGAAAGCTGCAAAGGACTGGCTTGTGTTGGTCCTTCACGACTCCCTGGTTGGGGTCCGAGAGATGGTGCAACACAGTGGCTAGAGACGTTATCAGATATGGCTCAGAATAGAAGCCAGTGGCGATCCTGCTGTAACCTTCTTTTACTTTCTTCATAAAAAGTGGTTGTGTCTCCTTTACCTGAAAGATTTCTTCTGATTGTACCTCTTCGTCATTACTCTCTTTTTCTTTTGCGTTCCTTAGTTTTTTTTTTTTTCTTTCTACTTCTCTTCGAATTCCCATTGTTTTGTGTGGCGCATATATATTGGCGCTCTCTTGTACCAATATTTATGTGTTCAAATAAATAAATAAATACACAAAATTAAATGCAAACACACACTACGCGTATGCACTTAAATAGTGTACTTTAAGAAAAGAAAAACCCATCGAATTAGTTTAATCTAATTTTAATTACCAGCATGTAATTTTCTTTTCAAATTGTTATTTCTTCATTTCGTTTTCTTTTCTTTTGTTTTTTTCATGGTTTTTGATGTGATTTCATAGTCATCTTACATCGTCTATTGTTAATTATGAGCATGTATTTAAATTCGCTCATAAAATGTAGGTTTTGAAGTCATTCAAAGACTTAATACTACTTTTCATTAGAATCTTTTGTAATAGTCCATTTTAAATTTGAAACTATGGATGATATTCTTTGCTCTACTTCACTAATTTATATTAAGAAGCCAGATTGTAGAATATCTCGTCAAACGTTTACTCAATAATGATAGTTATATTTTTTTAAAAAACACTTAGCTCCTATATTGATTTGATTCAAAACCTCTAAAATATCAGTTATCATTTTGTGTTATCCGTGATCTACCTGACAACTAAACATCCCTTAAGCTTATGCTTATCAACGTACGATCAGTATGCATTTAAAACTCACTTTGATTGTTGTATCAGTAGTTTTCTTGTTAGATAAATTTGACTTCGTGGTTTCTACTGAATTATGGAAGTTTCTTTATGAATTCGAATTATTGAAATGATTTATATTATTTATTCTCATTAATACTGTCGAATTTTTCATATATTCATGCAATGGAAACATCTTAATTATAATATGATTATTTCTAAGTAATGTAAATATTGTGTATTTATATCTATCATTTCACAATGTATTGGACCTAGTTATCAGCTACACTTCTATGATACCTAGCTTTTTTCTATTAACTTATCAGGCTTAGCTCTAAGTTACACTCTAACTGTGAGGGGTAGTGGTGCTACTTGGTTACCTAAATCAAAGTAGGTAGAACGGGTTTGGGCCTGGAAAATAATGGGGGAAAGCTAACCACCCAAACATTGGACCCACTTTTCTTGATACTATAAATCTTCAACAAGTCTGTCACAGTTTGAATTTACGGTTTCGCAGTTTAGAACCAGTAACGTTTGACTTAAGGGACCGTAAAAGTACATTCAACATCTTGTTTATCTACTAATAATGTGTTTATCTCAATTCACTTGCTATGTATTTTTTACTTAGTAAGCGCCTTATCAGCTTCCGTAGAACGTTTTGACTTTTGAGATATCAACTTCGTAAAAATCAGTGGTATAGTGCATGTATGTGGTAATGTCACTGAGATAATAGAGGAAACTTCCCAAGAGAAGCACCCAGTTGAGGGGACTTAACATTATTAAAATCATCCACCATCCGATCATTTCGTAATAGGTAACCTTACGATTTCCTTACTTCACATAAGGTTGTGTTTAATTCTATATGTTCCCTGATGGTTTAGGTGTTCAACTTCCAGCCATCAATTTATAGGTTCACACTTCCTTCAGCTTACTTTTGTTTCGGCAACCGAGCGATATCATCAACCCTCACACTTAAAATGTTGCTCATGCCCAAGTACCCGGTAAATGAGGTAGTTTATATATATCATTTCTCTGGTTCTGTAGTTCATTGATATTTTTCTTTCAGTTATTAAGTAATTATTTCATACATCCATTTTACCTTTAGAGAGCAAGATTGTATTTTCATGCTTTAAATATCAATTCTACTTCACTGTTCGGTTATTAGAAGCAAGTAGATCTTTTGTTAGTCTTGAATTAGTGATAACGCCATCTCATGTTTCGAGTTCCTCATTCATATTGATATTTTTCATTATCCACTACCCGGATAAGGGAAATACCATCTAGTCTTCTGTAAAATAGTGACTTCTCAACAATATATTTTTTATCATGTGTTATATATACTGTCAGATTTTTCCAAATTACCTGTTTTCACTCAGTTCGAACTACTTAGTCTTTGAATGTGGAACAAATTACTCTAGATATAGATTACCGTTGAGGATTTATATCAAGTGTTCGATATTTAGCTGTTGTAGTTCGATTTTGATATCCTTTTTATTTCTATAATGTATCCCGTCCTTGGGTTTACGAATGTTTCTTGACTCTAGTAAGTCATAGCGAAAATACTAGATACTATGTATTAAAGGTAATTCAGTCTTTTTTGTAACTCTCAAACACTGTATTGTTGTACCGGTTTTTGCATTGTGTTCGTCTATAGAATGTTTGTTTTGGGTAGTCTATTTACTTTTCTAACTTCACTTGAGTGTCGCCCTTCTGCTGTTAGTTTACTTTTTTGCATTTCCTAGTATTTATCATCTCATTTTCTCTCGATTTTCTAGTTTGACTATGGACAACGTCTGCCATCTTTAGAAGGCAGTTCAAGTGCTCCAATCAGTAAAGGAACACCTAATATGGCTCCACATTCAGTTTTCGCATGGCAGCCCTTTGGAAGCACATCAGTTCACAACCAACCACAAGCTTCTTCCTTTCACGGACAACCCGCACATTTAATTCCATTGATCCCAGGTTCAACTGCTACTTATAGCGGTATGGTTAGCTCTTCTCCTGCTAGTTCAATGCCTACAACTACTGATTTAATGGATTGCCATCAGAAAACTAATTCACACTATGCATATTCTACCAATTATTCCAGCTCCTCTGCATCAAATAAATCTCGTTCTATCGTATTAAGTCCTGCCACTCAATCTGGATGCTGTCCTTCCGATGTACAGAATATACGTTTAGGAATGCTTTTACCCAATTCTCATTCCCCAACTACTGCTCCAGTACCAATCTATGCACCTTCACTTTCATCCACTACCACTTCTAGTTCAGCACCCCATCAAGCCTTTTGTTCTCCAAATAGCTCTTCAAGTTCGAATCTATTTAGTACACCTCCAGTATTGTCTAATCACCCAGTTCAAGATCCTGCTAAAGCTGTCAGTCAAAAACAACGTTCAAAAAAGGAGAGTCATAACAGAAGTCAGTTTACTATTGTTTTGAATTTGCTGATTTTTTCGTTTTTTTTCTCGTTCTGATTTCCTTAGTAATGAGGTGGATCAGTTTGGTTTTACGGCCCGCTAAAACAACAATTCCTAGCTTAGATTGTTTTCGTCTGTAAAAGGTTCTTTTGGAGATTAGTATATATATATATTTCAAAGCCAGCTTTACGTAAATTTCCTCTTTAATTATATACCAGTGTACTGTTACTAATATTGATGCTAGTAATTTTGTATTATATAATTAATTTACCTTCAAAATAAATATACATGGTTATTCTACAGAGAAAAATACCGTATGTGATTTTATATATAATTTGATCAACTTGTTTATTTAGATGACAACCATGTTTTGTTGTCAAGCAATTCTTAGATTAAACCTAATTTTTATGAATTTCAACTTTCCATCAGACTCCTCATCAATCGACTTTAACCAAGCTATTAGAATATAATTTAATCTTTTTTTTTCTGTGAAATTGGCAAGAAGTTAATATTTTTAAAAGGTTGGTTGTATTTGTTATTTACGTTTTCATTATCCGTCATAAAATGCAAAATAAGAATTTTTGTAAACGTGAAATTTCAGGTCTCCAATCAGTGATTATTTTCATAATATTTGTGCACATACTAGGATGATCTCTATTGCTCATTGGCTTGTTATTTTTTCTGTTATTCTGTTTACAAGATTGCGCGTGAACGTTGGCATGTTATTTTTACAACATGCAAAATATAGTGCAGTAAATCGATTCCACTGGTACTCATAATTGTTTTCATCAACATATCAATAAATAGACCCCATTTTTTCATATCAATACACCACATGTTGACGAAATAATGTTAAATGACTGAAATAAAAATTAATTTGTTGTAAAACGTTAGTATACATGAGTTGTTAGAAATCTATCCATATTTGTATTGAGTTATGTATGCTTAATACCAACAAACCCAGTTAAAACTCCTAAAAATGATTTGGTTTGTTTGGTTGTTTAGTACTTCTGTCAAGTTTAAATTTCAACCCATCACTTAGAAATGTAAATTCTTATTAATATATAGCATCAGTCCATCAATCAATTATTTACTGTAATCAATCGTTTCGTCATGTTTGGGGTCTTTATTTTATGTCTACAAGATGATCATAATCTGTGGTGCCATAGCCACTATATTTCTGAAGCTTTACGATTTATCCCCTCGTTTCATTCGTTCTTTCCAAGCTACATTTTGTGTGCTTAGTATTCACTTTTAATGACATTATTTTGTATCTTCTCTTGTTCATTTCTTCTGATTGTATTGATGGTCATTGTGGCGAATTACGATGACCTGCAGAATCCTATATGAATTATGACTGAGTAAACATGTGCATTCACTCGATTATCTGACTTTTAATAATTCTGTTGAGTTGAAAATAAAGTTGATTATTTCCATATTTTATAACAGTATGTTACATTTTTGCGATCCTTCATTCAGTAATTTCAAGAGTACATTGGTATTTGCGTGTTGGTATGCTTTGATCTTATTGAAGAGCTCGCTTTAAGGTCTTTGAACAAGCAGTTTTTACTTACAACCTAGCTTATAAATCAATTGATGTTATGATCCGTAAAACAGTATTCGTTAACCTATTTTAAGTGTTTTGTTTGTGATTTATCAAAGTTCGTTTGATCATAAGTATATGTGGATCCATTTTTCAAGTTTTCTTATTGACTGGATAAATTCATTTCGTTAAATAATAACTTTACTTATTGAATCTGTTGTTTTTTGAAGTTAATCCATCTATTCTTTAGAAATCTAAGTTATCATGTCTTTTTCCATCATTTTTCAATGCCTAGTTGAACGGAAGCGAAGAGATTATATTAACTCACAAATCGTCTATCTCAGTAGCTTACTCCCACCGGAACTGTATCGGGATGTGTAAGTCAGTTATTTGTTATTTTAGGCTTTGGTATTTTAGAATGCAGTTGTTCTTATGAATTTTTAACTTTCATTCTTCAGTCTACTTATATTTCTAAAAGTCTTATCTCTAGTGTGATAATGGATTCTAACCTAATACAAGTGACAACATTCTTTATTTCCAAGTTTCGCGTAACGTCGTTCTCCGTGGTGTATATAAGAATAATTCTTCCAGTAGATAATGAGTCGATTATGAAATCCAAAAAATAGGATAATTTCGTCATCATACAAACAAAATTCGATAAGTGACTGAAAACCTAGCGACTTTGTACCTCGTTATCATGTCTAGTGATGACGGAATCCTCTTCGTGAACGGATTTAGTACTCTTTTTTTGAACGACTGGGTTATCGTCAATAGTATCCTTAAATTTAATAACAACCTATTGCTAATTGACATTTCATAAGGTGAAAATTTAAAACTTGCTTGATGGTAAAGGCAGTTTCCTTACATATCGTACTGCAATGCAATCTGCCTACATTCAATTGGTTTCCATATTAAAAATATTAATTATTAGAATCTGATACACTGGTTGTAGTGTAACTTTTGTTTCATTAAATCTGTTCCAATAGGATTTCGTATTATATAGGAATATTTTGAAATTAGATACGATTGATGTTTTACCCTTTCTGTTTCCAATCGAAATTTTATCTAATCTCAGTTCATAACGCGAATCATCAGCCGACTAAAAACGACCAGATTTCCGGATATCTGTCTATTAGGGTTAAATTACTACTCTGTAAATTTTTTAATCGAATAGATATTTAAGCTGAAATAACTAACAAGTACTCTTGGGTTTTCCATTTTTTCTCCAGTTAGTTTTGAGTTTATGATAAGAACTACCTTGTTTTTTCTCTTGTTTGACAAGTCGCTTTTCAATATTGGTCTTAAAACATTTTTTGAATGATGTACTATGTTTTCAAAAACTATCCATTTCCCATAGAGATGG